TGTGTGTGTAGTGTGTACGGTATTGTTATTATTATTACTATATATATATATATATATATATATATAAGCGTTTGTGGAGTTTTCCTCGTTCAGAATCTGATTTCAATTTCTTCCTGAAACAGCGATGATGATGAGATTGAGAGTGGCCGAGAACAAGAGGCAAAGAGAATCATCAATGAAACTCTGTGCACACGGCGGCTATTAGGCGACAGTCTGATGGCTGCCCTATTCTCAGCGTATCTGCGCATGCGGCCCAAACAGACATGCGCCAATACCGTGGAGGTAACCAAGATCGCCAAGGGCTGGGTTGAGTTTGTTGTTGTGATTGAGCTTCCAAGTTTTGGGGCAGATACCAATGACGCTACCGGCGAGCGTATTGTATACGTTGATGCGTCTGTCGGGATTGATAGACACGGAGGCGAGGGTGTTGCTGCAGTATCATCGGAAAGCAATAGAACCAGACATGTCATGGAAACTGCAAGAAATGATAACGGCCACTCCATACTCGATGCGAGACCCTTTGAGAGGGGCACCGACCATAAGGCAACTGACGAAAGCGGTATCCATAGTGAGCATTTGCGAGAACAAGACAGCGGGGAAGGAAGTGGGCAAGGGGGTTGGAGCGATTTCTTACCCACCGTTGTGCACGTGGGGGATATATGTGAGCGCTGGGTGGCTCGTGAGCTTGAACTATATACCGCTGCCGCCGACAAAAAGTATGTACATTTTGTGTGTTGGATGTGGTCGCTGTTTTACTACTTTTGTGACATGTTGTTAGTGACATTCTTTTCTACTGCGGTATGTCGCCCGAGCGTTATTCTCAGCATATGGGTGAGTGTATACGTTGTGGATGTCTAGAAGCTTGTTAGTTGGTATTCGATTTTGGTCTACAATGCACGTCAAAAACATTGTCCTTGCATCAGCTGCAGTTGTACATAGTAGCTAGCACTACTAGAAATATCTTCAAGGCTTCAAACAAACTCCATCCACTTCCACTTCGAATTTATATCAGCATGCCAATCTCGACGATACTTGGTCTTTTTGATCGGATACTAGTCCGATTGCTCTATATATTCTACAACAAAATGTTGTAAAACTTCAACACTACCAAGGTTCAATTCGATAGTTTGTGGTTTATTTATTGCTATCACGATACCGGTGGTCAACAGGGTAGAATTCGTATACTAAAGCTCATACTATCTACCATGGCTTGGAAACTTCAGGATACTGTCGAGTCTACAGGAAGCTTCGGAGCACATGTGGGGATGGTTTACTGATGTCGTGGCCCTGGCGTGTCGCATGTATACCCTCCAGTCCACGCAGCAATCTATGGACAAAGACATTACAAACCAACGCCCCAGCGAGCACATTTTGTTCAGAATTGCAAAGCAGATACTAAGACATGAAGAAGGTTCTGCGAGGAAGGCCTGCACGAGTGACGTGGGACCGTTGGGTATATTTGCTGAGAGTTCGACAGCACCGTCGGTGTCAGAAAGTAAGGCGTATGTGCAATACGTATACCGATGCTTCAAGCCCAGAATTGAGTGTGCGGCAGGGGCGTCAACTTCTCAGACTCAGAGTGGCACACCAGATCATGAAGACTCCCGCGGTATGTGTGTTGATTCTGGCAGTTCTGGTATTTCTACTGAATATGAGAGAATAGACAATCAGGAAGAAAAGACGGGCGCCTTACATTCCACTTCTGCAGAGGAATATACAGAGAGGCGAGGCAGTGAGTCATCAAGTGTGGAGAGGTGTCTAGAAAAGGACGCTGATCGACCGGGATCTGATACGACGGCATCTGCTGTAGTGGAGTGCATGGCCTATGTGCGGGCCATACTGGCGGCTCCGTCCGAGCTGTCGTTGCATGTTACTATCCATTTTCTCCAGACGTGCGTGAATACAAACCGAGCGAGTAGTGGAGGCGCAATCCGTATGCAGTACACGACCGCAACGAGCGCAGGCAAAGCTGGGCCAGACAACGCACCTCAGATTGTGTGTGATGAACAGAAAACGATTGGTATCGAACTAGGTGAGGACGTATCGCGTGAGGCTGTATCTGATACGCGAGTACCACGTGGCAACTATGAGTGTAGACGAGTACAGCTGGGTGAGTTTCATAGTAAGAAGCAGCGAGCCTTGGTGGAGGACACAGTGTTTGTCGGTGATATGATGCTGGAGAGTGCTGCCAGGTGCAGCGATGCGACTACACGGGGCTCTGTGGTACAATTAGTGAAGGATATGCTGAATGAGATCGATGCTGATACCCGAACTCGTGTATTCTGGAGCGGGTTGGAAGGGAACATGGGCAAGATCGAGGGTCTGACCTGCGCAGCCACAAGGCTTAACCAAGGGAGCGGCGACAATGATGGTGGGCGGAAGGACGATTGCGATGAAGTGGAGACAACTGGTCTACAGATAGCAACTGCGGGGATCAAGGATAAGCTGGGTGGGTTCTATTTAGCGCAATGGAAGGAATGTATTCTTGGTTGTGGCGGTGATAAGATCGATAATATACAGACGCCTGCGGTCGATCTTTTGCATCTGACGTACATCCAGCAAATGTGCAGTAGAGTCTTACTTTTAAACTTTAAGTCACACGTGGATGTGTTCGATTCGGAAGCAGCAGCTAACAGTGGTGAGCGCAGAATATCTGATGCAAGTATCAGTGCAACTGAGATCTCGTATCGTTACGAAAGTACTTCGATTCTTTTAAATCTGATTGCTTCATTCTGCCTGGCTATGCAGAAAGAACGCCCAATAGCTACATTCACACAAAAACAACCATATGATATCGAGAAGGGTTCACGACTGCGTCTTTTGCATACAGCACTGATAAAATTAGAAGAGGCTGTGCAAGGAGCCGATAACATCGATTTGAACGTAAATGGTGGTAAGACAACCGATGAGATGCATCTGAAGAGCTTCGAATATTTACTGCTGCTGGAAAGTGTGGGTAGAACGAAGAAGCACGTTCTCAGTTGCCTATAAGTTGATACAAATTATAACGGTGTATCCCGCTTCCTATATTAAATTTGTCGTAGTGTAATGTTCTATTTTAGCTATATTCTACCTTTCGTAGAATTTAGCTATATTTTGGCCTTCCGGCATTGCGAGAATCAAATATGTACTACATTATAAGACTCCGTGTACACCGCCCATACTACTCAGCAGACCCGAAACACTAATCGGGCATGAGTATATTGAGACTTCGAAGCCTCAAGCAGCGATATCATGAACGCACCCGTGGAAAGAGATTACACATTATAAATTGTCATTGTTTGCCCGTGTATGTAATTTACACGTAAATGCTGTTTTATTACGACAGCAAAGAATTTGGTCTATAGCCGTTGGAGACCGCAAACAGATTTTATATTATTCGATGATTCTGGTACGTACATATTACAAACATATGTTACACGAACAAAAGCATTTTTTCGGCAAGCTACCTTTAAGCAATTTGTTGATGGTTGAAAGAACACCGCCAACCATCACTCTGGTCTAAAAATGGAACTATCTGGAGAAGTCAAGATTGCATTTCACAAAAGGACTGAATTTTCTCATCATGGATGTCATAATGATTGACGATTTCTTCCTACCCTGGGATCTCAAATTTACGCTCTTGTGTAATCTGCAACTGAGTATTCAATTTTTAATGAATTTAAAGAACTAGAAATTACAATATCAACTAAATATTTGTGTGTAAGGATCTTAGTCCGTAAGATTTTGACAATTACTCTGTATCGGAATGCAAAACCACTATGAGGTAAAACACCATATTTTGGTGTCAACAGTATGCTTTGATACCACTCAAAGTAGTGTGGGATGTGTGGGATGAGTACGAATTTGGATACAATGGGGATAACCAGCAAAGCTGTATCTTCCACCGGTGGATAGAGGTCGAGTTAAGCATGTGTATAGCTCCCGTTTGGTATTCTGGACAGCGATGAAGAAGCTCGTCACATTTGGAATTTAGGCACAACCGGCAATGTATAAAATTCATACGCGTACCGACAAAAGTACAGTATTTAGCATCATAAATATAAAATATACATTCAAAAAGGGTCTCCAGAGTCCAACTAAACATATGTATGTACAATTGTACAGTGGACATGTTATATGTATTTAATAATAATAATGGTGGCAACACTGCAACCGAAAGTCGTACAATCGGCACATATTTTTACGTATGTTGAGACTCTCTCTCTAAAAGCTTAAAACACCCCAAACTCTTAGCCAATGAGATATCCGGAAATGCTGTCCACATGATATCTAGATGTCCATTTTCCCTCAAAATCCGACAGTCAAGAGAGGAATTGTGAGGACTAAAACGACAAACTCAAGGCGCTCGAGGCGTCCCAGTCCCATGCACCAAATATCCGACAACCCTGTGGGTTTTTAAAAACAAAATTAGAACCTAGTGGAAACCTTATCAGATTGGAAACCCTGTGGACCCTTAAATGGGACATGGCGTCCGTTTTATCGAGGGAATTGGCCAATCGGATCGTGTGCGGTGTGACTTGTGTCACTCCTTTGCGTATTGAGAGCATGTCATTCTTTTATTTATAAATACTCTCATCATGTGTCTATTCCACTCACCAGTGCTGTTCAACGGCAACCTGCCTGTTGTTGCTGTATGTAAATATCTGTAATATGTATGAATCATAGTGAATGACTGTATGAGTGTATGTGTGTATTAAATAAAATATAAAAATATCAAATGACAAATATGTGATGATGAAAAGCCATATTTTTCTGATATATGTTTAATAACAGAGTAAATAAAGCCACAACTTACTTTCGCAAGCTAAGAAGACTGTCTTGTAGAGTATGAACGGGGCAATCAATTGGGGACGTACCCAGCAACAAAGCCAATCGTTAAGGAACGTAAGCTCACTTATTCGTCGGCATGGGGGTTTGCAAGTCCAGTGCAGCACCAAAGTACATACTTCAACCGGAAATCACATTGTCTCAGATACTCCACACTGCGCGAGGAGGAAATACAGCCACGTATCCTGCAATACATATTATTCATCTGTCATTAAGAATAAAGCTGACAGAGTACACAACTCTGCTTCGAATGTATCACAATCACACACAAACTATAGCAGAAATGCTCGCAGAGGGACAGGTAAGCAATCGCACAGAGCGATAAGCTTCACATCCAATGCAGACTTACCACGACGAAACTGCACTCAGGCGTCCTTACACACACAGAGCCACACACGCGGGGGTCGGTTACTGTCACCCTCGGTACGTGAACAAAAAATAACAAGAGATTGTAAGTCACAAGTTCGAAGTACCAATGAGCAGGCTATCTTACCACGCCGACGAAATATGTCTACCACGGGAGCGCACAAACTGGTAAGGAATTTTTAAATATAGTATATGAAACACTCACCGTTTGTATGTACCTACACACGCACACACACACATACACATACATACATACACGCACACACACACACACACACACACACTTATATATATATATATGTATATATATATATCTACACACACACACAACACACACACACATATATATATATGTATATATGTATACATATATATATATATATGTATGTATACATATATGTATATATAATATACAATATATATATATATATACAAATATACAAGAATATATATATATATATATAGTACGCACAAACACAATCACACACACACAAGCACACACACACACACACACCTCTCTATATATATATATAAATGCATTATATATATATATATATACAATCAGACTAACACACGCATAACCGCCGCCCACACGCACATACACACACTCACAGACAAACACACACTACATTTATGTGTGCGGACATACACTCATATATATATATGTGTG